TCCTCCCCTGGGGTTTTGGCAAATTTTTGTTGCCTTGTATGATTTATCATATTAATTTTATCATTTACCACTTATATTTGCTGCAATATTTTTTTCTAATTTGTTGCTTTTTGTTTTTATGTTTTTATTTGTAATTTTTTAAAGATTTATTTTTATTTATTTATGCATACAAGAACTGGGGTGTAGGCCAGAGGTATGAGGGATGAGAGGATTCACCAGAGATAGAGTGGGGAGCAGAAAAGGCAGATCTACTAAATCCACTGCTGAGGGGAGCAATGGATGCAACAGGAGAGGGCTGCTGTGCCATGTGGATTAGCTCCCTGGCCAGGATTGAACTCAGCCCATGGAGGCAGAGACTTAATCCCAATACCACCAGGGAGGCCCCCCTTTATGATTTTATTGATTTAAATGTTTGAAGTCATCAAATGATCAATTTATAATTAATTGGTGGCAGAATGATAAACCCAGTTACAGACTCACATAGATATAAGAATTTGTCAATGTTCAAGGTACTTAACTGACTGGGCACAGATACCAAATTTTGGGACAAGCATTGTTAGAATTCCTTCTCATGACTCATACCAACATAAACCTCAAATATGTGCATATTAAGATTTAAACATGCATTGAAAAAGCATATGTTCATATAAAAAATGTTCATGGGGTTATTTATATAACCATGGGGTAGTGATCTTTGTATGAATGGCAATAAATGTAGAAGCATAGGATAAACATTGAAAACCATGACTAGTTTGAAACCTTCCACCAGCAAAAAATTAACAAATTCTAGGTGGGGAAGACTATTTAGAACATAAATTTAAACTATTAATTTTGTATTATAGGAGATATCTCTTAAATTGAGAAAAATATTCTAAATAGGACCTTGAACAAAGAACATGAAGTAATAACTTAAAAAGGAGAAATGCCAATGACTAGCATTAAAAGAATCTGATACTACTGATTTTTAAAGAAATTAAATGCACAGAGATAATATTTGGAAATATATAGTTTGCTTTACTTTCCAGTACTTTTTAGTCCATAAGTGACCCTTCTGAGTCAGTGACACAATAATTTAAGACATTTTGAAATTATGGAAATTAAAAGAAAAAAAAGACTCCCAATGTAAGTTTTGGGTCTAGATTATTGAGAACTTTTGGTTATCATTCCAAAATTTCTTTGTAGCGGACTAAGATATCTGGCAGACACTAGATGTAATAATGGTGATAATGTACAGTAGCATCTGATGGCATGGAAAATATGTTTAATATAGAAAGTGAAAACTTTAAATTACAAAAGAGCAATGATCTTTATATAATAATAAATAAAGCTTATATATATGCACACTGAAAAATATGTTCTAAGATCACTCTATTTCCTACCATGTGTTTAGAGACAATTCTGTTCCATATCTGAGTTATTCAGATAGGATAGATTGACTATGTGGTGATTCTTGATCATTAGGTTTTCCAAAAGTTCTAAGACAAATTTTTATCTCCCACCATATCTTCTTCTACTAATAACTCCAGTTATACCTACACTTTTTTAAACAACTTCCCTCTGTAGCAGTCTAGATAACATGTGATTAACTTTTTTTAGTTCTGTGTTCAGGAAGACAGAGATTGAATTCTGTGCTCTGTATTTTGGTTGTTCTTGAGCCTTTTGTCTATATTTCCTACGATGGCTATGTTGCATGAAGTTTAGATCACTTTAATAACTTTAATAACTCTGGTTAAGTGTGCTATTACTGTGTCTGCATGTACACAGGAAGACATACAAATATGAATAAGCTATAAAGGGAATGGAGATACCTCAATGGCAAGAAATACAAAGATAGCAAAGAGAGTTTTCTGAAATCTCAGGTTCTCTTCATGAGAGGGAGTTCCTTGTGTGTCGCACTTCTTAATCTGTTCTTCCCTACCTATGAATCTCTCACTTGGTAGCTAGAACACTGTTCATCCTGGAATTTAAATGTTGGAATAGAATAGCAGTCCTATGAAGTTATATTTGAATAGAAAGTGATTTTTTAAAAAGATTTATTTATTTATGCAGACAAGAGCTGGGGTACAGGCCAGAGATGAGGGGTGTGTGTGTGTGTGTGTGTGTGTGTGTGTGTGTGAGAGAGAGAGAGAGAGAGAGAGAGAGAGAGAGAGAGAGAAAGAGAATGGATTCACCAGAGACAGAGTGGGGAACAGAACAGGCAGATTGACTGAAGCACACTGCTGAGGGGAGTAGTGGGCGAGTCAGGAGAGGTCTGCTACACCATGTGGGTTGCTCTCTGACTGGCCGGGGATCGAACTCACGCTGCAGAGGCTGCAGATTGCTTCATAGTGCGGTGCTTAACCCTTTGCGCCACCAGGGAGGTCTGAAAATGACTTTTTTAATAAAGATTTATTTATTCATGCATACAAGAACCAGGGCACAGGCCAGATATGAGGGAGAGTGAGAGGACCCACCAGAGACAGAGAAGGAAACAGAACGGGCAGACTGCCTGAAATACACTGCTTGAGGGGAGCAGTGGGCGAGACAGGAGAGGTCTGCTGTGCCATGTGGGCATCTCCACTGCTGGCCGGGATCGAACCTGCACTGCATAGGCAGCGGACAACTGCACAACGCTGTGCTCAGCTGCCTGCACCACCAGGGAGGCCTTGAAAGTGACTTTTTTGCCCTTGATTTTACCTTTCCATATTTCAGAGGCATTAATCATAACTTGAAAGTTATCAACAAGATTCAAAATCATCAATGTTAAATATCTTGTCTTCTGCATAGAAGAAAAACTGTCAGTGGTCTATAAAAGGTGAAGGCACACTCTTAGGTTTCTATCCAAAGGACACAAAAACATCAATTCAAAAGGATACCAGCACCCCCATGTTTATTGCAGCACTATTTAAAATAGGTAAGATTTGGAAACAACCCAAATGCTCAAATACAGATGACTGGATCAAGAAGATGTGGTATAATACACAATGGAAAACTATTCACCAATCAAAAAAGATAAACTAATGCCATTCGCAGCAACATGAATGGAGCTAGAAGGGATTATGCTCAGTGTAATAAGTCGGAAGGAAAATATTGGATGGTTTCACTTATAGAAGGAATATAGGGAAACTAAATAAGGGACCAGGGGAAAAAACATAATAACAATAATAATAAAAATAAACAGGCAACTATAAATCAGAGACATTCTGCAAGGGAGGGGAAGCGAGGGATCAAAACAAGGGTGAGAAGAGCACAAGAGACTATGGTGATGGTGCACATGTGAATTGGTGGGAATTCCGTGGGGACTACACCTGAGAAAAGAAAGCAAACATTGCACAAAAATGAACAATGATGTAAAATATATATAAATAATTATTTTTTAAAAAATGAAAGCATTTTATTTTCATATATTACCTGCTGCTACCTGTACTGTGGCATATTTTAGTAGGCAAGGACTAATATGTTACTTATATTTTATAAATATTTTGCCACTTATTTTATTTACCTGTTAATCATAATATGTGTTTTGGGGTTCCTAATATGTGTTTTGGGTTACTTTGTGTGTTATGAAAAACTGTATGTTATTGCTGTAGCAGAAATAATTTATTCTGTAAAATCTCTGAAAGGAGGCAGGACCCATCAAAATAAAGGACCTAGACTCAGAGCAACAGATGCTCTTGTAAAGCAATGTGTTTCTCAAAAAAGGACTTTGATGAAATATATGTAAATTGTTTCTTTTGTTATTTATTTTTGGAATGTTCTCTGTTATGCCACATTTCATTTGTTTTTATATTTTTATTATGAGACACTTTAAATGTAGAGACAAGTATACAAACTAGTTTATACCATGCACCTGCCATCAGTTTTATTAAATCTCAACATATTTGCCTTAGTGATTTTTTTAAGCCAGCACTACATTATAGATACAGTTGAAGCGCCTGTGTGTACTTGCTTCATCTTTTTCTCTCCAGAGTTACCATACCTTTTCATTCAGAGTTTATCATCTGTATTCATGGTTGTGTATGTGTGGGTGACCTTGGTCTCGCCATCATTTTGTGACTCATGGGGAAAATGGAGATAATTATCATACCTACCTCATGGGGTTGTTCTGAGTTAATATATGAGAACCTTTTACAACTGCATCCAACCTTTGGTAAGATGTTGTTGTTACAAAACATCAGCAAAACATGGTAATTGGTAATTGCAAAAAATGCAATTACATAAAATGTCAGCTTACATTATTGAAAGGTTAATAGCTATTAAACAACCTTATCTGGAAAGTTTGATGTGGAAATATTCTGAAGTTTGGGGAGCTTATATTCCACATCTTCCCAAATCACCTACCTGTTCCCCCCTTCCTATTCAGAAAATATCTTAAGCTCAGGCGTAAGCATAGGAAAAGGGGTCAGTAACCAAGCATGTAATATCCTGTTTGTTTTCCTTGAGAGGTATGTTATTTTGGAATTTTAATGAATAATGGTATTAACCATTTGAGTTTTTCTTATATAGACTTGTTTATCACCTTGCCCACTTTGTACTGAGTTATTTACTTTTTAATATTGATTAATCATAGTTCTTTATACATTTTGAACACTAATTCTGACAGATTTCTTTTCCCAGTGTTAGACTTGCCCTTTTGTGATATTTTTTTGCTTGTTCATTTGCACAGAATTTTAAAAATTTCATTTAATATTTGCATTATTTGATTATCTCTTATGTTTCTATGAGCTGTCTAAGGACAATGGGTATATGATGATGCCTAGGGCCACAGTCATCTGGGCTTGACTGGGCCAATCCATCCAGGATTTCTCATTCACATGGCTGAAGGTTGGTCCTGGCATCAGCTAGGAGCTAATCTGGGGCTGTCAATAATGTGCCATAGTCCTTTCCCTTACTACTACCCCACCTAGTATCTCGATTTGGCATTGGATTCTCATAATCAATGAATGACTACAAGAGTAGAAAGTAAAGAGATGGACTTGAGAATTCTAGAATGTACTTCTAGAATGGGGAATGTACTTCCCCATACTCTGTGATCCAAAGCCAGTCCCAAGGCAGCTCAGATTCAACAGGAAGGTGTTGAATTATCCGTCTAGACATAGTTACATGAGCATACAAAACCAGAGGAATGGTTGGAGGCCCTCTCTGGAGACTATCAGCCAGAGAGGGCATAACACAGAAAGGAAGTTTGTTCTGAAATGTGAGCGATAAGGAAGACTTCACCAGAGAGAATAAAAGAAAGAAGACTGAGATCGAAGTTAACAATAAAGAAATGAAACAGCATACAGCATTTATATAGAAGTTTTGTGGTATGTATTTATAAGGGATGAAATTAATAAGATGTTTAACAGTAATAAGGAAATAATAGTTAGAATTCATCAGATGCTCACTGTGTGGCAAGCATATTTTGAAGCGTTTTGAATGATTTATTTTATCCTCATAACAAACCTGTGAAGTGGAGACTACTGTTATCTCAATTTTCTAGATAAGGAAACTGAGATACAGATAGGTTAAATAATGAGCACATGGTCATATACTGTGTAAACATTAGTGCTAAATTTGAATATAGATAATATCTTTGGAGATTGCCCTTTCAACCACTGTACTAGCCAGGCTCCTATAGATTATAAAAATATGTGAATGCCATGTTTTATCCTACCTCTCATACATTTTTATATGCCTTATTAAAGAATTCAGGCCCTAAGTAAGAAACTGGTTTTCAAATTACCGTATTCTATCCCTGGTCCAGATGTCTTAGGAGCAGTTAAGTTTAGGAGCTTCTAAGATGTTGATAGTGGGGCCTCCCCTGGTGGCACAGCGGTTGAGCTCTGGGCTGCAAAGCCGCCTGCAGCCTCTGCAGCGCCGGTTCGATCCCTGGCCGCCGCTGAGGGTTCCACATGGCAGCCAGACCTCTTCTGCTGCCTGCTGCTCTGCTCAGCAGTGTGTTTCATCAGTCTGCCTGTTCTCTTCCCTGCTCTGGCTCTGGTGAATTCTCTCACCCTCCTGTGCTTCTGACTGTACCCAGTGCTTGTATAAATAAATAAATAGAATCTTAAAAAAAAAAAAAAGATGTTGATAGTGGCTCCATGATCTCAGGAGGTCAAATAAAGAGATCTTCTTTCATCTTAGATATACTTATTTTTTTAAAACCACTTTTTAAAAAAATATTTATTTATTAAAGATTTATTTATTTTATTTATACAAGAACCGGGGTACAGGCCAGATGGGCAGGAGGGTGAGAGGATTCACTAGAGACAGAGTGGGGAACAGAACAGGCAGATTGATGAAATACACTGCTGAGGGGAGCAGCGGGTGAGACAGGGGAGGTCTGCTTCACCATTTGGGTTTCTCTCTGGCTTGCGGTCGTGCTGCAGAGGCTGCGGATTGCTCCATAGTGCGTTGCTTAACCCCTTGCGCCACCAGGGAAGCCCTTAATATATTTTTTTGATTTAGAAAGATCTTTCTTCAAATATCAGGCAGAGCATATATGCTCAGTTTATCACTTCCCATGGGTGGGAAGAATAGCCACCTTAAAACCATATTTATTACTTTTTCTAATTTTTGTTACGATGAACCATTACTTGGGAAATATTTATACTGACTAAATCTGTAATACCTTTTTTTTTTAAATCCATAATACCTTAACAGACAATTGCACTGTATCACAAAGGTGAATTTTCTGAACTATTTATAACACAGGTCATAATTAATAACACAGGCTCTTGGAGCCTGGTGCCTTGGGTTTAAATCCTAATCATACCATGCATGACTTTGGACACGCTACTTAAACTCCCTAGGCCTCAGTTTTTTCATCTGTAACATCATGATGATAAAAAATTCTCCCTCACTAAAGTATTGTAAAAATTGAATGAATTAATTCAAGTAAAGTATTTATAACAGTACTAGCACATAGTCAGTGCTATAAAAAGATAGCTATTGTGGTGGTGTTGTTATTTACTGTTAGTGTCAGAGGAAAAATTAAAAGGCACGTTTGTTTTAGCTTTATTTTGACAATAGAGATCTTTTGGGTAGCAGAAAATGAAAGCAGAATAACAAACCCTATGACAATCTGCATCGTATTGTGGAAAACACTCTTGCTGTACTCTTTCCCCGGGACCAGTCATTTCACCTCCCAGAAGTATTTCCCACATTTGAAAGGTTTAAGGAGGGCTATTTGAATCAGTATCATTCAGCTTCAAAATGGCTCTACCAATTTAAAGTATCAGAGGTGGCATGTAGCAGAACACACTATAGAATACTTGTAGACATACTTGAAGAACAATTTTTTGAGGTTTAATTTGTGCTAAAAATTCATCAACACATCTCCAGGAAGGCAAATCTTCCTAAGACATATGGAGACTGTTTTAAGGTTGGTTTCATGATTCTGATTGGGACTGATTTAATTTTATCATTGGGCACTTCAAAACAAGGACTGAAAGGTAAGGTACATTACGATCTAAAATAAGCCTTTCTGTTAACATGTAGAAAGCACAATGCCAATTTGAGAGGGGAAGGAATTAATATAGCGATACTAACAGAAAGGGTTTGGAGAGAGGTAAAGTTAAAAAATGTAGCAAAAAATGGATGATTTAAAATGATGCATTACATAAAGGAACATTCCAACAGGATGCATAAGGAAGGGTGTGAAGATAGTTGCATATTTTAAAGATTGGAATAAGCAGTGCACATTTGGAGGGTCTCAGAGTATATAAAGAGATCTGCTTAACATGGCAGCCAGCTGCTCACCTCTCATAATGGAATAAGAAAAATGTGCTTAAGCTGAAGTGTAAGGGATTTGGGTTTGCCATTCTAAACAATAAAGGTTGTTAAACATTGATTTAAATTTTGTTATCTCAACTCTAATACTAAAAATGGCTTATCCGCTAGTCAGCCAAAGATGTTCCTGTGCAGAGACAAAGTGATGGATCTGTGACCTCTTATGAACCACAATTTGGTTTGCTTTATGTTTTAGTATTTCAGAGAAATGTCTTAGTTGAAAGCGTACATTGTTCTGTTGGACTCTTTCTTTCGCTATCTTTCTCCTTTGTTTCCTTTGTAGACTCTTTAATTTTGTGAATCATCACTGACCATGCCTTTGTTCCTCTGTCGTACTGTTATTTTTTGTAGATGCACTGGAGGGCTTCTCTAAAATAAATGATTTACCTTTTTCATATTCTGAATATGAGACATGTAATCAATTAATTTAATTTGTTTATTCTACAAACTGTTATATGCTAGGCACTGTGCTAAGCCCTGGAAATTCAAAATTCTCTCCCATTGGGATCTAACATGTAGTGAGCTGGAGACAGATCTACAATTATAGTCCAAATAGGTGATACAATAGATGTTGCACAACATCCAACACGGAGAAAGGAATTAGGAATTTCATCCTGGGAGGATGTGTCTATTAAAAAATCTCTGTGCAGGGAACAATCTCCCAGAGGGGGGAAGTTGCTGGGGACATTTATCACTGGGTCCAATCTCTGGTCCAGTCCACGGGGAACTAGGTTTAAAGTACTGGGAAGTGCTTTAGACCAGGCTCAATCCATTTTGCTCAGATAATCACTTTCAAAAGGCTTCTGTTGGCAGCTGCTTCCTAGGAATAACTCCATACCATGTGGGAACAAAGCCCAAATTTTTGTACCTGTGTCTGCCACATGATCCCTTGATGGTATTTTGAAGTTTAAATAGGCAATTTATTTGAATTACATGTTTAAAAGAGAGGGGAAGTTTTCTCCAACAGCAGAAATTCATGTCAGTGGCAGGGGGAAAGTAGAGGAAGCACAATTCTGGGCTAAAACAGGTGTTTGGAGATGTAACAACCAAATGGAATGTATAGACTTTGTTTGGGTCCTAAATTGAACATACCTACTCTAAGGTGATTATTTTGGAGCAATGGGGAAATTTTCATTACGAGCTGGGAACAGACGATATCAAGGAACCATTGTCAATTTTGTTATGGTGGAAATGACATGGGGCATGGTGTTTATGTAAGACAATGTCTGTCCTTTTCAGAGATGTATGCTGAAGTGTGCCTAAAGTCTGAGATTTGCTTCAAAAGCCGTCTGCAAAGCAGTAAAGGCAAGATGATGTAAATATGGCAAGTTCTTGATATTGTGACATCTAGGTGATAGATATGTGAAAAATCATTGACCTGTTCTTGATGCTTTTTTTTTAAATTTTTGAACTTAGTCAAATGTGCATGGTCCTTTATTTAAAAAAATTGAAATCAACACTTGTATGTCAAATTTAGTAACTTCCAAATTGTGTTTGTAAGAATTACCTGGATTTCTTATGTTTTAAATTTTATATTATTTTATTTTTTAAATATATTTTTTACATCATTCTTCCTTTTTGTATAATGAATGCTTTGTCATCTCAGTTACAGTCCCCATGAAATTCCCACCACTAATTTAAACTCGGGGCATTCGCCGCAACTTGGATGGAGCTGGAAGGGATCATGCTCAGTGAAATAAGCCAAAAGAAAAAGAAAAATACCAGATGGTTTAATTTTTAGAAGGGATGTAAAGTATCCATATAAGGGATCAAGAAAAAAAAAGTAATTATAATAAAGTAAATACTAAAATCAACAGGCGACTATTCTTGCTGCCTTTGTAGTGTTTGAAAATTGTCATTACTAAGCTTCTTTGCCCTCTCTTCTCCAGTGAGCGTTTTTTGACTAAGATTGGTAACTTAGACATATGAACTATTGATAGCATGCAGGACTTAAGTGGAAAGAGGAAAATAATGGACAACTTAGTTTAGAATTTAAAAAATGATGCACAGTATTTAAAAATATTATATATGAACTTAGGTGTAACCTTCAATGTGCACTCCCCAAGTCAGATTTCTGTTTAAAAGCAAGCAAATTTCTGGGCCTCCCTGGTGGCGCGAGAGGTTAAACATCGCACTATGAAGCAATCTGCAGTCTCTGCAGCATGAGCTCGATCCCCGGCTGGCCAGGGAGAAACCCACATGGCACAGCAGACCTCTTCTGTCTCGCCTACTGCTCCCCTCAGCAGTGTGTTTCGGTCAGTCTGCCTGTTCTGTTCTCCGCTCTGTCTCTGGTGGATCCTCTCACCCTCCCGTGCATCTGGCCTATACCCCAGTTCCTGTATAAATAAAAAAAATCTTAAAAAAAAAATAAAAGCAAGCAAATTTCTTCAGCATGGAATCATGCCTGGAGTTCATTGGCAAAAATGGGTAACTTCAGTGGGTAAAAAAGGCAACTATTAACATAGCTGAATTTTAAAAGTGTCATAAATCTCCTATTTGTTCCTGTTGCTTTATCGTTGGCTAAATGATATTTGAAAGGTTATGTAGTATAATATTCTTTCTTTAAGTTTATGCCTGTTTAAAAAGTTTTTAGAGAAGATACGATTAATTTTAGTATTTTATTTTTCCTTAGCAAAATATAGAAACAGTTCCTTTTCAACTTAGATTATATAAAAGATTTGGAGATGAATTTTTCAGAAATGAGTTTCTATCTGAAGAAGGATTTTCTATATAGAATAATCATTGTTGGAATTAAAAGCCACTAGAGATTAACAAGTTGCCTTTTTTTTCCCTAAAATGTTTTATCTACTTTCAGAGTTTTAGCTCTTGTATGTTAGATTAAAATTCTGAAGCATGTTCGTTTCATCTCAAAATTGAATGTCAAATCCAAAGACAGATATTTATAACTGAGTTCTGTTCAGGCAAAAAGTCAGTTTCCAGACTGCAGCTTGGATGATTGTAAAGCTCTCATTCACAGTCTGATGTTGCTATCGTTTTTAAACAAACAAATTAAAGCTTTAAGATTGGATTTTAGCAAACCAGCCATTTAATTCCCTCTTTATTATACTTTATATTTTCAGAGTGCTATGGAGTTTGCATGTTGCATTCAAATAACAACACTCTGGCATTGGTAGAATTAACTCTACTGATATTACTGATAATACTGATAAGAAAATTAAAGTTCTCACAGGTGAAGAGACTTGCTTAAAAGCCATCCATTTAGTTAGCAGCTTAGCTAAGATTTCTGTTCAGTTCTTCTAACTCTAAATTTTTCCATCATAAATTTCTTTCATAAATGTATACAAGCAATGGACTGGCAAAAAGAAAAATAACATGTGAATTCAAGAGCGCTTTACAAGTAAGTCAGGATTTTAATTAATGGGATATTTTACAAATGCCTAACGTGGGGAAGAGAATTCATATACTAATTTTGGGCAGATTTTCATATAAAGAAGTACAATACGTCCAGACTTTAATAGTAACAATCAACTTGTAAGAGAAATGGCTTTAAAACTGTTCTTACTGCCGTCACCTTACATGAGATGTAACCTATGCTTCTAAAACTTACCATTTGTTTTAAACTGAAGCATTGCTTTTTCATTAGATTACATTACTGACTCTTACTGAGTGATGGTAATGTCTAATAGTCAGTACATTATTTGAGGTAGCATAAGCAATTGTTTTAATATAATTGAGGAAAGTCATGTGATGCAGTCAGCTATTGACTGAAATAAAGAAGATGGATAAATGTAAGCACAGTTTACCTCTTCAAAGTAGGAGATATATTTTTTGATATTAAAAATAGAATGCTAAACTATTAAATATAAAGTATTTTTTGAAGGGAAGGTAGGAACAAGTAGGTAAGTTAGCATTGCTTGAATATGTACTTTTTGTAAATATGATTGTTGAGCAATGAAAATATTTTAAATAATTATAAAATAAAGTTACATATAAAATGCAATCCTAAATGTCAAAGGTAAAGTGAAACAATTAACCTAACTGTGTAACAAATTGGTGGCATAATCATATGAAAAATAAATTCTTAAAAATTTAAGCCATAGTAATTTCACTATGTATACCCAGAACTATACACTCTAAGAACAAAAGAAAGGTAGCAAAAATTTATTTATGGTCAAGGTGTTTGGGAAGATAGTAATCATATTGAAGTCCCAAGATTAGTGTTGTGATAAAAAACAGATGTATAAATATGTTGATGTCCTTGAGAACTGGAAATCTGGTCATCAGAGAAGAAGATGAAGGTGAAGATCAGTAAAGGTGAATGGTGTTAATAGAAACCTTGTAGTATGAACTTGTGATGTATTTTATGTTTAAAATAAGTATTTCCTAGCTCTGTCCACTAAGAAGGCATAGAAACAATGATGAATTGCATAGCAATGAGCATCCCTTTGCTGCCACTGTGGTGTCTAAATGTCATTTCCCTCAAATGCAAATCAAACCACAGTGAAATGACTTAAATATGTGAGAATGGCCCATGTCAAAAATTCCAGGAACAATAAGTTTTAGCAAGGATGTGGAAAAAAGGAATTCCATACACTGTTGGGAATGCACTGGTATAGCCCTTATGGAAAACTGTATGGAGGTTTCTCAAAATATTAAAAATACATCTACCATTTGATCCAGCAATTTCACTCCTAGGTATCTACACAAAGAATGCAAAAACACTTTTTCAAGGGATATAGGCACTCCTATGTTTATTACAGCACTGTTTACAATAGTCAGTTGTGGAAATAACCTAAGTAGTGTCCAAAGAGATGAATGGATAAAAAAGATGTGGCATATGTGCACAATGGAATACTGCTCAGTGATTAAAAAAAAGATGAAACTCATGCCATTGTGACAAGATGGGTGGAACTGGAGGGGGTATTGCTAGAAGAAATCAGAAGGAGAAAGACAAATACAAAATGGTTTCATTTATGTGTGGACTATAGAAAAACTAAACAAAGGGTCAGAGAAAACCAAACTGGTAACAAACACTCAAATGTGTCTGTGGAATTAAGATTATCAGAGGGGTTGATAGAGGTTGGAGAATAAAGTGTCGAGGGGGCTCAATGGACTGTGGAGAAGTATAGGTGACTTTGTGGTGGGTGCAGTGACATGCATTGGAGGAGGTGTGAACTTATACCTCTGGAGCACATAAGTGTCTAAACCAGTTTTACCCCAATTAAAAATAAGTATGAAAAAATAAATAAATGTCATTTTCTTCTAAAGGAACTAAGATCCTTGGAGAAAAGGTTAATTCCCCAATGTAGGACTAGGTCGGGAAATAGGAGATGACTTGGAAAGAAAGGAAGAGATGTAAGGGCTATTGGGTTTGTGTCAAAAAAGACTCAGGGGGCCTCCCCGGTGGCGCAGCGGTTGAGCGCTGGGTTGCGAAGCTGCCCGCAGCCTCTGCAGCGCTGGTTCGATCCCCGGCTGCTCCCTGGCCCCTGGAGGAGGTCCCACATGGCGCGCAGACCTCTCCAGCCGCCCGCTGCTCCCCTCAGCAGTGTACTTCGGTCCTTCTGCCTGCTCTGCTCCCTGCTCTGGCTCTGGCAAATTCTCTCACCCTCCCGCGCTTCTGACTGTACCCAGTGCTTGTATAAATAAATAGATAAATCTTAAAAAAAAAAAAAAAAGACTCAGGCTCTAACTTGAGCAGGCTCTTTATAACCAAGGAGTAATTTGATCATCAATTGGAATAGCATCTGTGATCTATTGAAATATATCAGACATGATAAAATACATAAAATAATAGTAATACATAAAATAAATGGCCACTTGTGCAGAATGCTAGTGAACCAATTAAATATTTTGAAATAAATAGAAGGAAGAAATGAAGCAATTTTTTCTGCCTTTTTTGCATGGCCTCAGGATTTGAAAAGAGGGTTTTCTTTCTGCAGATAACAAATTAAGAGTTAATGACAGAATATTTCCATTTGCAATCATAAGTTCAGGGAAAAACCACCAAGTAGCTGTAAACACAACAAAAAGAGAGACAAGAAAGCATTGTTTACCTTTTTTTTTTCACTTTAAGAAATGAACTTTGCTTTTAGAATACTCTTAGATTTACATAGAAATTGTAATGATGGTATATCGAATTCTCATATATCCCTACAATCAGGCATTCTGTCTTTTCATCTCTGTTTGCTTATTTATCTAATATATTTTTAAAGATTTATTTATGCATACAAGAACTGGGGTACAGGACAGAGGTGTGTGTGTGGGGGGGTGAGAGGATTCACCAGAGACAGAGTGGGGAGCAGAACAGGCAGACTGACTGAAATACACTGCGGAGGGGAGCAGAGGGTGAGTCAGGAGAGGTCTGCTGCGCCATGTAGGTAGCTCCCTGGTTGGCCAGGGCATTGAACTCGTGCTGCAGTTGCTGCGGATAGCTTCATAGGTTGCGTCTTAACCCTTGTACCACCGGGGAGGCCCTATTTAATATTTTTTAATTGAGGTACTATTAGGATGCCCCCATCAGGTATTGCTACCATAGTACCCACCACCAAATCAGCCGCAGTCCTCCTAATGGAATTCTACACTATCACCTGTAATTTGGTCATGACAAAGATTAGACTTCAGTTTGATTAGGACTCTAGATTTATTACGTTTTCAAAAAGAATATAAAACCAGAGAAATGCATTAAAATACACCATAGTGATGCCATCAGAAAAATTAGCCTTTAGATGCCGCAGGGAAACAACAACCTGATTTCTTCAATGATTATTGATACATTGTAAGAAAAAAATCATTAAGAGGATTATATAAATTGTTAGGGCAAAAACATGCATATGAGATTGGGGAAATTTGAATACTGATGGGACAGTTAATGATACTAAGGAATTATTATTAACTTTAAAAGTGAGATAATAGTGTTGTGGTTATGTTTTTGTTAAATCCACAACTTTTAGAGACATACTGAAATATTTATGGGTGAAATGATATTATTTCTGAGATCTGCTTCCACATAATCCAAATTTGAAGTGGCAGGAAGTATAGGTGAAATACAGATGGTGATTGTCAAATTTGACGATGAATGTTGCAATTCTCTCCACTTTCATGTATGTTTTAAAATTTTTAGAAGATGAAAAAGTGCTGTTATTTAGATTAGCCTCAGAGATCATATTGTGGAGATAAGTAGTTGTTTCTGTGAAATAATTATTCTCTTAAGAAAGGTTTCACATTAGGGATTTTTTCATACCATTACCAAAAGTACATTCATAATAAGATGTAGTTAACATTTATTAAATATCAAGTTATGTGTCACACAGTTATTCTAGTCATTTTACATGTGTTTTCTTGCTTCAGATTCATCAGAATTGTATGAAGTAATTCTATGATATTTGCTTTCCATATCATGCTGAGAGAGTAAATTTCTTAAACAGCAAGGAGAGAATGGAGCCAGGCTTTCAGTCTGGCGTGCTCTCTGCTCTGCTCAGACTGAATGGTTAACAGGAGTGGAGATTTTGAGTGACGATGTCTGTTGCAATGTATATATATATATATATATATATATATATATATATATATATATATATTATATGTTGTGTGTATGGAGTATATATTTCTGTTTTCTCGATGAGCCTTCTTTGCCCCAATTTGAACCTTTTGGGCAATATTATAATTTGCATTTTGGCTAAATTAGAGACTCAAAAACTCGTCAGCCTGCTTCAAGACAATACTAGCCACTATTTGAATCTTTAATGAGGCAAGCTGTTTCACTTCCCCACAAGATGGGGTGAAAGCACAATTTTGTTTTAATATTCTTAATTGTTCCAAGGCAGTTTTCCCTGGTGTAGTGTATTTGAATGGCATGTGGCTGGCAGGAAGGGAAAGATGGTGCATCCTAAGGTGAGACCTTCTCATTATAATGCCTGCGCACAAAGCAGGGGCAAACCCTGGCAAATAAGAAATGGCATTTTCAGTACTGAAAAATGAAAACAGCCCTTGGGTAAAACTCTGATGTTCACCCAGGGGATAGCTCCCTCATGTAGGATCCAGGGGAGCTTATAAAATCTTTAAAAAGTTGAATGCTCAAGTCATCTGTGAACTGTCAGAACATTTTGCATAAATAATCTCCAGGCGAGTAAATTAAAAACCTCAAGTCAGTAAAATCCTTTGTAAAGTGACCCTTTCCATATTTTGCTAGAATTGTGGTTTGTGATAATTGAAGCTTTATTGGCAAAGTAGCAGCCCAAGAGGATGACTGAAATAAGGTTTTGTGCTTCAAGCAGTTCAGCAACTGACTCCAAATACATATAACACTGTAGAGATTGGGGGGGCCTTGATTGAGCTAAACATCTTTTTATCTCCCACTTCATTAAAATTGAGGTAGCTTGAATTTTTCCCCGA